AAATAAATTAAAAAAAAAAAAAAAAGTCTTAGGGTAATGGCTTCAGGTATGGCTGGATCCGGGGGCTCCAAAGATGTCCTAAGGGCTCCCCCGTCTCCATGCAGTAGACCCTCACTAGGAGCTCCAGGCTTATATCATTATTACAGTTAGAAATCTTGGTTGAAAAAGAGCTTCTTTTTTTCCCAACAGAGCAGCAAAAGTCCCATGATTCACTCTGATTGAACCAACTTGGATCATATGCTCACCCCATAACCGATCTCTACAGCCCAAGGGAAGGACTACGCTATTTGGGCCACCTGGGTCACATGCTCACTGCCGGAGCTTAGCGGGAAGCCCAGGGTAAACCATTTATGAACTCTAACACTGCAGGTGGAGAGAGTGAACACCGACAAAGGACGTTGCTTAAGATGGCAGGAGGCAATGACCTCAGAGCCGGCTGCTGCAGGTCCAGCTCCCTGCTCCTGGAGGGGCAGCTCTCAGCCTTGGAGTCGGAGCTTCTGCACCAGGTGAGAATAAAAAACTAGCAATAGTGCCCTGGCCAGTTTGGCTCAGCGGTTAGAGCGTCGGCCTGCGGTCCGGAGAGACCCGGGTTCGGTTCCTGCTAAGGGCACGTACTTCGGTTGCAGTTTGTCCCCGGCCCTGGTTGGTTGTGCGGGTGGCAGCCACTCGATGTGTCCCTTCACGTCGATGTTTCTCTCTCTCTCTCCCTTCCTCTCTCTCCCTCCCACTCTATCTGAACAAAAAATGTAAAAATGTCCTCGGGTGAGGATAAAAAAAAAAACAAAAAAAAAAAACTAGCAATAGTAACATATGTCCTATAATATATATTAACCGGCCTAACCCTCACATGTAAGAGAGGTTACTAGTACCATCATCATTTCCATTTCACAGGGGGGAAATGAAGGCAAAGAGCTACTTGCCCAAAGTCAAATGGTTGTTGACTGGCAAAGCTGAAAACATACCTGGTGGAGCCATGACCCCAACCGCCATGTGAAGAGCAAGGGGACTCGGTTCAAAGCCCCTAGGAATATGCTGGATGGGAGCGCCACCACCAGCTCCAGCCCATTTTTGGCAGCACCTGGGAATATGGAATATGTGGCAAGATGTTCTAATTTTTCCAAGTACGTCCGAGTTTTATGTGAACTCTCCTGATTTTAAAATGTGGACTCAGTTGTTTAACTTAAACACCAGGCAATTTATCAAATCCTAGCATCATCCGGATGACCAGCTACAGAATTTGCGGGGCCCAGTGCAAAATGAAAACTCGAGGCCCCTTGTTCAAAAATTAAGAATTTAAAGACAGTGGCTGCAGAACATTATACCAAGCAACTGCCCAGGTTGCACATCCATGAAGCCAGCTCTGCCTCTAAGTTTTCCTAAACACATGTTGAAGCAAAATGGACACGTATTCGGCACCTACAATGTGTCAGACACCCCTTTGTGTTAAACTAGGTAATAATCATCAAGCATTCCCTACGTGCCCTCACGGAATGTACTGATATATTTAAACCTCACAGCAGCACTATAGTATTATTCCCATTTTCCAGATGAGGACACTGGGGCAAAGGGAAGTGAAGTCATTTGGTCATTGCTAATACTTGACAAATTATCTGAGGTGGCAGGGGTGAGGGAGAATTAATGGGAAGGGGTAAAATAAGAGAGGGAGAGAAAGGCAAGAGGAAAAGAAGCTACCCAGGCCTGTCTCCCAAGCTGGGCTGCCCTCAGGTCTCTGCCTCGACCGTGTGGAATCTGGGGAGGCGGCCGCACACCCGAGAAGGGCCTATGGCATTTCGGAATCATGGTGGCATCCGCCCCGGGTTGGCTCGTCTCCGGCGATCCAATTACTAAATGCAGCCGCATTCTTTAAAAATGTCTTTCCTCTTATGTAATGCAATAGTGACAAACGCCAAACAGATGGTGCTGTGACAAGCTTTTTAAAAGTTGATTAGGCGCTCGTCTTTCAAAATTAATGTATGGGCATTTAAACGAGCTTCAGCTGGCCACAAAACTCCATCAAGATCAGTCGCTTGATGAATGAATTGGCCGTGCTCACCTCCTCCAGGCCAGGGTTTGAGTGACAGGTGGTCAGGTAGCCAGGTGAGAGCAGTCAGAAGACACCTGGTTTGCACAGAGCGGAGAAATGCCTTGGGCCTCTCAAAAGCCCAAGAAGCTGGGGCCTCTTCAATCTAGAGTTACCAAGACTTTTTTTTCAAACTTTTACATAGCCTTCGAGAGAATGGACCATCTCTGTCTCCCGCAGGAAAACGGGTTAGTCACAAACTATGTCAGATGTTGCCAGGGAGCTGTTTCCCCACCCTACCCTCTGCTTTCCCAGCGTTCAGGGATGAGATCATTTCATTTGGAGCCAATTATAGATGGAGAATGCTGGGGATGTACAGAGAAACCTCCTCGGAGCCCTCTCCTCCCATCGTCACAGGCTGTACCATGCCAGGATGGGCAGGAACAGGAGGCTGGATGTCCAGTGTCAAGTTCAGTCTCCGAGTTGGTGAGGGCCACGCATTCTTAAGCCATAGCGCGGGTCTGTTAAGCTAGAATGCTGGGCTGTAACCGTGGCCCGCCACAGCCTGTGCCTTCTCAGAGCAAGGTCCGGCTCCAGCCCCAGCTCCAGTGTTTCCTAATCGTGACAGCTCACGAAGTCCCTGGGCTTCCCAGAGCCTCAGTCTCCTTATCTGTAAACGGGGGTGGAGGGGAATTACCTACCTTACAGGCTCGTCGAGGGGATTAAAACAGGCATCACTGCCCTGGCCAATTTGGCTCAGGGATTGGAGTGTCCGCCCAAGGACCAGGGAGTCCCGGGTTCGAGTCTGGTCAGGGGCATGTACCTCAGTTGTGGTTCAGGCCCTGGCCCTGGTTGGGGTTGTGTGGGAGGCAGCCGGTCCATGTGTCTCTCTCACATCGATGTTTTTCTCTGTCTCTCCCTCTCCCTCTATCTTAAGATAAATGGAAAACTATCCGCAAGTGAGGATTTTAAAAAAAACAATAAATAAAACAGGCATCACTATCTAGGGGTGAAAAAATGGTAGCTATGAGGGACTCCAACAAGTGTATGTACCGAGCCTGGGCAATTCAGACACCGACAGTCTGCTTGGTAAGAGCACACAGATAAAATAATTTCCCCGTAAAACGGCCTCCTCTGGCCAAAACCAGTGTAGGTGCGGAGACAGGGAGAGCTGGCTTCCAGGGAACCTGGCCGGGATGTGAGTTGGGGAGCCCCCTCACTGGCTACCTGGCCAGTCTGCACCTGTCTTCCCTTCACACCCCAGTACCTCGCCCCACGCCAGTGCTGCCGAAAAGCTCACCCAGTGACTCACTCACTCTCAGAGAGGGGGACAGACAGTGATCCCAGAAGTGCCCGGAGTCCTGATTTAGGAAGGAGCGTGGAGTAGCAGCAACACGGGCCAGTCCCTGCCCAGTCCCAAGGACAGCTGAAAGAGACACCCTTTCCCCCACTCCATTGTCCGTACTCCTGGGTCCAATGGCAGGGAAAACCGCCGGCACACTCCTCGCAAGGTACAGGGGTGAGTCCCGACCCCCCGAAAGCTCTGTCTCTTACAGTGGTGCTTCCCCAAGTGGTAAGTGGAGAACTCGATCTGAGATGGTTTTACACCAACCCGGGATGGGACGTTGAATAATCAACTGCAAGATGGATGAACCTTGAAAACATCATGCAAAGTGAAAGCCAGACGTAGAAGACCGTTTATATGATTGCATATGTGTGAAATGTCCAGAATAGACAAATCCATAGAAACAGAAAGTAGATTGGTGGTTGCCAAGGCTGGAGGGGTCTGACCAATGGGGAGTAACTACTAATGGGTATATAATATTTCTTTTTTGTGGGGTGGGGGACAAAAACTGTTCTAAAACTTGACCTTTGTGATGGTTATACCACCTTATAGTATACCAAAAAGGACTGAATGGTCCTTTAAATGAGTACATGGTATGATACATACATTGTATCTCAATAAAGCTGTTAAAAATATATTAATAACAGCCCTGGAGGTGTGGCTTAATGTTTGGAGCCTTGGTCCCTGTACTGAAGGGTCAGGGGCACATGCCTGGGTTGCAGGTTTGATCCCCAGCCCCAGTCAGGGTGCATGCAGAAGACAACCAATCAACCAATCGATGTGTCTCTCTCACATTAATGTTTCTCTCCCTCCTTCCTTCCCTCCCTCCCTCCCTCCCTCCCTCCCTCCCTCCCTCCCTCCCTCCCTCCTTCCCTCCCTCCCTCCCTCCTTCCACTCTACCTACAATCAATGGCGAAAAATCCTCAGGTGAGGATTAGCATATATATTAATAACAGTTGACTTCCCAAGAGAATTAGCCCCCTTTCAAGTCTTGTGTAACTCTTCTAATTTGTCAAGGATCCAAGTCTCCATTAGATACCAGTGTGTCCTTACTCTCTCTCACACATGTGCACATTTCTCGTTTGAACAAGAAGAGAGCGGGTTTGATGCTCAGCTTCTAGGGCAGGCAACAATACCTAGACATACTTGTTTGGTTTCCATTGTATTCATTTTTCTGATTGCCTTCTATTTATGGCAAGTGATTATTAATTTATTCAACAAATATTTATTGAGCATTACTGCGTGCCAGGCACTGTTCTAGGCACGGGATAGAGCAGACCAAAACCCTGCCCTCACACGCTGATGTACTACTAGTGTAGGGAATCTTAGCAGTAGATGTGGCTCATGGGTTTCAAACCCCCGCTGTGCCACTCACTAGCTGTGTGATCTCAGACAAGTGGCTTAACCTCTCTGTGCCTCAATTTACTCACATGTGAAATGGGGATATAATTGCAACTAACTCAGGATCCAATGAGCTGGAACAGCACTTGGCACACTGTAGGTACTGAATAAATGTTGGCCAATCTTATTTATTTTCATTTCTAGTTTGATGAAACATTTTCTCTTTAAACACATTTGAGTATAAACTGCCTTTTAAAGTATATTTATTTAAGTAGAAAAGGGAGGGAGGAGTGGAGAGTCAGTAAAAAGTAAATGTACAGTAAGGAGGACAGGGCAAAAGCCACAAGAGCGTACATAGGAGAGGACATTTGGGAAGCCTGGAACCACGGGGAGATGTCAGTAAGGCTATGACTCAGCGGGAACCAAGTAGAAACATAAAGCTATTTTCAGTGTCAACATAAGGATAAGACTTGTTCCTTCAGTCTCAGATTTGCAGACTTCTCCCCACTCCCTGATGCTGTGGGATCCCAAGCCTTGGGGTGGGAGGTTTCTTATCAGCCTGGGAGGCTTTGGAGAGAAGGGGTCTGGACAGTTGGGGGCCGCAGCACTAGATGAAGACAAAGCTATGGACCTCAGGACAGGAACAGTCGGGGAGCTGCCCAAGCCTCTCCCAGGTCCCTCGACATCGGGGGTGGCCCGCCGCTTTCCACTGCAACAGCTGGTTCCTGCAAGAGACGGGCTGGGCTCAGTGGCATTAGGAATCTCTGGGCTCCAGGGACATTTGCTTGTGTGGGCCCCTTCCTCCATGCAAATCAATATCTTAAGTCATAGTGTATGACGGGATTGGATAAAGATGCATACAATCCAAGCTGGATTCATTATTAGATCTTCATGATTAATATATAGTTTTTTCTTCTGATTTAAAAAAAGTGTTAATTTTCCTGGGCCCTAAAAGTGGGCGGGCACTGGGCACTATGTCGACTGCGCCTGATGGAGCATGGCCCTGAGCTAGCCGCGGTGCCACCCCCAGAGGCCACATGGGGTAACCAGACTCACTCCTAGTGTCAGCGGAGGTGGCAAAACAGGAAAGACACTTAACCTCCCTGTGCCCCTTTTCCTCTTGGGTGGTAACACAGAGGAGTCATTAAATACACAGGCCCTGCCCTGGCCAGTGTTGCTAAGTGGTTAGAGTATTGTCTATGTACCAAAGGGTCACAGGTTCCATTCCCAGGCAGGGCACATACATGGGTTTCGGTTTCAATCCCTGATAGGGGCGTGTGCATGAGGCAACGGATCAATGTTTCTCTTTCTCTCCCTCTCCCTCCCTCTCTCCCCTCTCTCTCTAGAATCAATGGAAGGCATATCCTTGGGTGAGAATTTTAGAAAAAAGAACAGAGGCCCTGGAATCAAGGGGTGTCATGACCCAGCTCCTAGGAGCCTCTGCCTTCTCTTCCTTCAGTGGACAACAGAGATATCCATAGTCTCCGCCTCTCTGAAGTGCCGAAGGTTCTGTGCAAGGCTGTGTGCAGAGAAAATAAAAATGACCATGACAGTGTCAGCTACAAGAATGAATCTGCTGCAAGACGGCCACGTGGTGAACCTTGCAACCTCATAGCGAGCAAAAGAAGCCAATTCCAAAAGACACACCCTGCATCATTTCACATATTTAAAGTTTGGGGGGCAAGCCAAATCAAGCCATAGTGCTTAGGGATCCTCACTGAGTACAGCTATGGAGAGAACTGTATGATGGACTGCCGTGAAAATTGGGGCGGTGGTTTCCTTCATGGGGAGGGGAAGGGCTGTGGCTAGGAGGGGTGTGGGGGCCTGGCCAGGTTCTGTTCCTTGCCTGGGTTGTGAATACCAAGGTGTGTCTCCTTTCCAAACATTTGTTAATATACGTTTTAGCCAATTCTCTGTAGGTATGATTCAAATCTTTTAAAAATGCAAAATAATGACAAGAATAACAAATACCGATAGATGCTGGGCACTGTTCTAAGCTTCTAAGCACAGTGCCTCGCAGACAATAGGGGCTTCACAAAAGATAGTATTTAAAGTTACCATTATTTTTGCCATCCTCATGATATAAAATGGAGCTAATGTCTCTTGTCTCCAAAGGGCTTGGAGGCTTGAATGATGCAAAACACCTACCTGGTGCCCAGTACTCTACAGGTGTATGACTATGGCAAGGGTTCCTTCGGCTTGTCCGGAACTCAGAGACACTTCTCAGGCTAAAGAAACCCTCCTAAAATCCCCAACAGACAGGCTAATCCCTCTTGGGCCCGGGCCATTTGCATTCCCGCCCTTGCCAGCTGCCCATGGAAAGAATCCAGCTGACAGCTCATCTCTATCCTCACTTTGATCCTCCTCTTCTGCCAGTCCTGCCTGGTGAGCTCATGTCCCAGGCAGACCTTCCATCACCTGTTGTGAGCCTGGGTATGGGCGGAGCACGGGGAGATGGCTCTCCCGGGTTCAGCCTGGCTCTGCTTGGCTCTGCTTGCCATTCCTGCCCCTCCCTGGTGGAGCCAGGGTTCCTGGGACCCTCACCTTGGCCTCACCAAAGTGCCACGTCCCTCATTCTGAAGAATTTGCATCCAAAAGAAGAAATTTGGGATTAATCAGAGATTTGGGGCTAGGAAGTCTTTTCCAAAGATGGGTGGATAAACCAAGGCTCTAAGAAGTGAGCATCTAGCCCTGGCTGGTTTGGCTCAGCGGTTAGAGCATTGGCCTGCGGTCCGGGGAGACCCGGGTTCGGTTCCCGCTAAGGGCACATACCTCGGTTGCAGTTTGTCCCCGGCCCTGGTTGGTCGTGCGGATGGCAGCCACTTGATGTGTCTCTTTCACATCGATGTTTCTCTCTCTCTCTCTCTTCCTCTCTCTCCCTCCCACTCCATCTGAACAAAAAAAAAAAATGGAAAAATATCCTCGGGTGAGGATTAAAAAAAAAAAAGAAGTGAACATCTAGCTCAAACAACAAATCCCTAATAGCAGAATCTCGGGTCTAAGTGGGAAAGAGATGGAGGGGGCTGGGCAGAGAAGGCCTCTTTAGAATGTGATAATATTGTTTGCCATTAATTTATTGGGCATCTACTATGTGCTAAATTTATCACACATTACACTTCATGTTCACCAAGTATATATTATTGTACCCATTCTGTTAGACATGACAATAGCCGCTTCCACTACTAAGCATCTATAAGGGGCCAGGTGCTGGGCAAAGGGCATGGGATCCTTCCTTCCCACAACTCAGGGGCCTTTGCTCTTGATGTTCCCTCTGCCTGGAACACCTTACCCCGATATCCACATGGCTCCCTCCCTGATTTCCTTCAGATCTCTGTTCAAGTGTCACCTTCCTTAAAAAGGAACAACCCTGCCCTGGCCGGTTTGGCTCAGCGGTTAGAGCGTCGGCCTGCGGTCCTGAGAGACCCGGGTTCGGTTCCCGCTAAGGGCACGTACTTCGGTTGCAGTTTGTCCCCGGCCCTGGTTGGTCGTGCGGGTGGCAGCCACTCGATGTGTCCCTTTCACGTTGATGTTTCTCTCTCTCTCTCTCTCTCTCCCTACCACTCTATCTGTACAAAAATTGGAAAAATGTCCTCGAGTGAGGATAAAAAAAAAAAAGGAACCACCCTCAGAACTTCCCCCGCATTGTTTTCTTTCCCTAACACATCGGACAAATAACAAATTCACCTGCCTAATGTCTGTTTCCTCACAGCAGAATGTTGTCTCCATAAGAGAAGGGAGCACATCTGCTTTGTTCACTGCAACGCCCCACTGTCCAAAACATTGCCAGGCACATGCTCAATGGTAAGTACTCAACAAACATTTATTGAATGAATGAATGAATGAATGAATGAATACACAGAGCTTAGAATAATGCTCAGCACATAGTAAGCACTCAATAAATGTTAGCTGCTATTATAATTAGTATGCTAAGTGCTTTCTGAGACACCTGTTCTTGTGGGAGGTGGTCTAGGGGGTTGCTATAAGCCAAATCTAGGTCAAATCCTGCTGTGTGACTTTGACTAAAGCACACTGCCTCTCTGAACCTTGGATTCCCCATCTATAAAATGAGAGTAACCAAATTTGCCTTTGAAGGGAATTTTGAAGATTCAACAACAATGCCAACTTTCTTCTCTTGAGCTCTTTCTGGATGTTAGGAGCTATGCTAAATCCTTGGCTTGCACTATCTCACTTACCCTTCACCATTGCCCCATGGGAAGTTCCTCTTATCTGCATTTTCAGGAAATTGGTGTTCAGAAAGGTTATGGGATTTGCCCTGGGTCACATAGCTGGAAGCGGCAGGGGCTGCTGCTCCTCGGACACTGAGACCAGGACCTTCCCAGGCCCCACCCTGACCAGGGAGCAGCATCTCGCTCCTGTGGCACCATCATCTCTCGTGCAGCAGCCAAGCCCTGGGCTCTGTGGTCACACTTCCCATGCCCTGGTCCCACTGCTCACCCTCTGGCCCCGCCGCCATCCCCGTAGCAACGTCGGCTCCTGGCATCCTGGGCAGGCCACTCACACCTCACACAGACCATGTGGCCCTGGGTCAGATACTTTGTCCACTGGGCGTGGAGTGCCCTCACCTGCCGACAGCTCCCTGGAATGGGCCCCAGCTGGAACTGGACACAGTACCTGCAGCCACACAGGGAGACACCACCCCAAGCACCTGTGAGCATTTATGGAGCACCTACAGTGCACCTGGCCCTATGTAGGTCCAGGTTGATACCATTTCTCTCTGATAGGGAAACCTTTGAGGCAACCCAGTCTGCAAAAACAGGTTGCATTCAACAGAGACTTGGCTTCCATGTGTCAGACCCTCTTCCAAGCACTGTATCCAAAAGACTATATGGTTTATTTCTCACTTGTCTCCTCACTAGTATGTCAGCCCCACAAAGGCAGGATATCTGTTTGTTCTGCTCACCGTAGCATCCATCTCCTAGAGCAGTACTGGCTCCATAAAAATGTGTTGGGTTGCCCAGCCAGTGTAGCTCACTAGTTGAGCTACATGTTCCAAGAGGTTGCTGGTTCGATTCCTGATCAGGGCACATGCCCAAGTTGTGGGCCCAATCCCCAGTGGGGGGCATGCAGGAGGCAGCCTATCAATATTCTCTCTCATCGATGTTTCTATCTCTCTCACCCTCTCCCTTCCTCTCTCTCTCTAAAATCAATAAGGAAAAAATATTTTTAAAAAATATGCTGGGTGAATCATTTGGTCTAATGGAATAGGGAAATCCCATGAGGTAGGTGTTGCCCCAGTTTACAGATTAGGAAACTGAGGATCCGAGAGTTAATCTGCCTATGGTCACAGCTAATAAGTGGTAGTGCCTAAAATGGAAGAATGGAACCTTCTATAAAACCCCAAAGCTTCGGTTGCAGTTTGTCCCCAGCCCTGGTTGGGTCATGCGGGTGGCAACCACTCGATGTGTCCCTTTCACATCGATGCTTCTCTCTCTCTCTCTCCCTCCCTCCTACTCTATCTGAACAAAAAATAGAAAAATGTCCTCAGGTGAGGATAAAAAAATAAAAACTAAAAAATAATAAAATAAATTAAACCTCAAAGCCTAATTGACACTCCTAACTACTACTACTCCACTGCATTTACAAAAGATCATATTTTATAGAAGAGATTCTCCATGAGAATTATTTAAAAGGGACTTCCCATTATGGGGTATTTGAAGTAAGAACCAATTTGCCAAAATGTTACCTCTACGTACCCAACTTTTCTACAAATGGCAGTAAATGGCACCTCCCACTGGAGAAAGGCAGCTTATCAAGGATGCAAGGGTGACTGCGTGGGGCTGGTGCCCCCTGGTGGCTGCAGCCTCTGGGAGGCCTAAGGCATAGATAGTTTTCTCCTAGGACAGCCCAAAACTGTCCCCAGATGCTTCCTCTCTGAGCTACCCCCAGAACTCTTCAGGAATCTGTCTCTTACCAGCAACATGTGATAAATGGAACTTTTGTCTTCCCAACACCCTATCTCTTCCTTTTTTTGTAGTTTATTTGGGGAACCATTGCCCTCACCCTATTTGGTCTTAGAGGGGCAACCAATCAGGGTGGCTGATACTCGCTGCCCACACCTGCCACTAGCCTGGGCAGATTATTATTTCTTTTTGTTAATCCTTACCCCCAGGGTATTTTTCCATTGATTTTTAGATAGAATGGAAGAGGGGGAGAGAGAAACATTGATGTGAGAGAGGTATATCGATTGGTTGCTTCCCACATGACCCCTAAGACCAGGGATTGAACCTGCAACCCAGGTACATGCCCTTGACTGGGAATCAAACCCGTGACCCTTTGTCAGTGGGTCGGTGGTCCGAGGCTCTAACCACTGACACAAACCAGCCAGGGCATGGGCAGATTATTAAAGCTGACCAATCCGAGTTCCCATCCTCCCAGCCACAGTGATTGGTTCAAGGGTGACTCCAGGATTCAAGTAGGTCCAATCAAATTCTTCTCCAGAAATAACACACTGAGACTGGGAGGGAGGGCTCCTTCCCAGAACTAGCATTGCTAAGCAGGGAGGATGTGGGGCTACTGGTTCCCACATTGGCCACTGCAGGAAGAATGGCTGCTTGAGAATGAAGCCAATATATGGAGAGAGAGAGAGAGAGAGAGAGAGAGAGAGAGAGAGAGAGAGAGAGAGAGAGAGAGAAAATGAATATGAGTACTGACATTATTTGACCTCTTGACTCCAACCATGCTTGAAGTAACAGTATTTCAAAACTTCCTCCCCAGTTATATAAACCAATAATACTCCTTTCACTTGAGCCAGTTTGAGCTCAGTGTCTGTCATCTACAATGAAAGGAATTCTAACTAATATAGCTCCCTCTTCATCTCCATTGCTACTGCTTTTGTTCAGACCTTATTCTTGCCATTAATATTTAATGAGTACCTGCCATGTGCCAGGAAATATCCTAGAAGCTTGACCTCGTCACCACCATCCCCAACACAGCAGTCTGCCTCCAGTCCCTGCAATTCACCCTTCACAAGATGCAGGGCTACTACTTTGGTCCAAACCACCTTCATCTCTCACCTGGACCATTGCAGTAGCCTCCCCATGGGTCTCCTGGTTCCCTCCTTGTCTCTCTCTCTCTCTTCAAATATCATTCAAAGGGATCCTGTGAAAACTCAAGTGAGATCATGTCACTCCTCTGCTCAAAACCCTCCCATGATTCCCATCTCATGTTGGAAAGTGTCCAATTTCTCACGATAGCCAATAGGCCCTGTGAGATCTTATCATCCCACTCCTATATATTTCTGACCTTATTTTCTATACTCTCACTCTCCCAGAACTCCAGCCACACTGGTCTTGCTGATCCTTGAACATACCAGGCATGTCCTGCCCCAGGACCTTTGCACTTCCTAGTCTCTTTCTCAGACCTACTCTTCCCCAGAAAGCCTCTTCGAGATCTTAGTTCAAATGTCTCCTTCTCAGTGAGGATGCTGCTGGCACACACCCACCCCACCCCTTCCCTGCTTTATTTCTCTCTATAGCACTTAGCACCATTGACATGCTATTTGTTTATTGTCTGTCTCCTCCAACTAGACTGTCCACTCCATGAGGACAAGTATTTCTGTCCTGTTTTGTTCCTTGCTGTAGCCCCAAGGCCTATCACAGTGTCTTTCATATAATGAGACTCGATAAACGTTGAATGAATGAATACATTTGAATGAAGACCAATTATTAAGGACTTCAAACTCATGTTAACGAGCTTACAAATGTAACAGGACAAGAAATGGGGAGTCAAAGTAAGAGAAAGACATGATGCAAGTTTAATTCAAGGAAAATGTTCACAAATTTTAGTTTGGCTTTGGGTTCATTTGCTTCAGCTTACCCTGCTGTCTCCTGCTCCTTGGGGACACCTCGCTTGTTCCGCTCTTTCCCATAGCTGCCTGTGGTTATCAGAGCAGGGACTGTGGGCCAAGGAGAAAACAGTTAGGTAGCTCAGCATGGACCAGGTTATGACACCACAGGAAGCTGGGTTAAGTACTCCTGGCCTCCAAGTTATTTATATGGCAGCCCTAAGGAGATTATGGGATCTTGGAGCTGGATAGGTGGTCCCCAATACTACCCTTTATGTGATGCTGCAGGCAGAATCACATTTATCTCTGAGACTCAAGGCCTAGTCCAGAGGGTTGCATAGTGGGTCTCAAAGGTTTTTCAAATGAATGATTTTTTATAAATAAATGAGTAAAAAGGTAGATAAAAAGAGTTAATAACTGGATGGAGGGATGGCTAAAATGATGGAAGACAGGAAGAATAAGTGGATGATGGGTACATAAATGAGAAGATGGGAGAATAGAGAAAAAAGAGACAGAAATGATGAATGGAAAGAAGATGGATGGAGAGATGACAGGCAGGTGGATAGATGAATGAATAAAGAAGTAGATGGAAAACTAGACAGATGGATGGGTGAATGAATGGATGGGAAGATGGAAGGATGGAAGAAAGAAGGTACAGAGGAATGGATAGATAAATGAATTGATAAAATTATTTCGTTGGACCAACTTCCTAGAGCAGATAAAAAACACAGAAAAAAAAAGAGAAGTTGGTGATTCCTTAGGAAAATAAAACATCGAAAGGAAGTCCCTGCTTCTCCCCATTCCCTGAGTGATGGAGCTGGATCAAAGATTTGGTGCTGAAGTAAAGCTAGTGACCTAGAAAAGGGCCACACTGGGGCATCCCAGGCTCCTCTCCAGCTGCTGCCTTGGAGGCTGGGCTTGGTCTTTGCCATAACACTTAACACAATCTCCCTTCCCTACTCTCTTTTAACATCCATGGTGCTCCTTTTGGCGCAGCCTAAAGCAGTAAGGAGAGCCCCAGGGAAGCCCAGGTTCTAGACCCAGTTCTGCTTCTTGTAGCTGAGTGATCTTGGCCGACTTACTGCACCTCTCTGAGCCCGTCTCCTCATCAGCAAAATGGGGATGATGCTAGTACCTGTATCATAGAGTTACTGTCAGAATTAAATAAGATGATTTATGGTGAGCCATGTATCTTGGGCAAGTTTTGTGTCTCCCTGGGCCTTGGTCTCCCCTTCTAAAAAAATGAGAATACTATCATTGGCCTCACAGAGTCGAGGAATGTAGCAAAGTGCGTGGCACATAGTAGGGGCGGACAGGAAGGTCTTCCTGGGAAACTGACATCTGGACAGGAAATAATGGGCTGGGTAAAGTTAGATGCAGGTGGCAGGGGAGAGGAAGAGGATTTCAGGCAAAGGGAATGACATTGCCCCCGTCATCACCCCATTGCCACCACCCCGGTCCAGCCACCATCCTCTCTCGCCGGCACCACTGCAGTCACCTCTTCCCCGGTCTCCCGGCTGCCCTCTGACCCACTGTCCCCACGCGGATCAGAATGATCCTTTAAACCATGGACAGAGAAAGCAAGAGATGAGGTCACAGCAGGCAAAAGCTTATAGAACATGATGAGGCATTTGGGTTTCACCCTGAGGGCACTGGGTAGCTACCGGAGAGTTGAAAGCAGGAGGGGGCACCATGTAAGATGTGCGGTGTAGTTGTAGAATGACCTCTTTGCACCAGGCTGCAGCAGGGGGAGAGGTTGCAAGGGGACAGCTGAGCCCTGCTGCCTGCTCTCCTCCTTCAGGAAAACCACTGCACTCTCTTGGTCAATTTCTTCAGTTGCAAAACCGGCATCACCTATTTTGTCTAGTGGATACAAACCTTTTGTCTGAGTATGCAATGCAGCCAACTTCTGAAGTTTCACCTGTCCTGCATCATTCAACCCAATTTTCCTTTGGAGAACACCCCTTCCCTATTCCCACTCACATGAGACTGGCCCCCCTCCTAGCTTCAAAGGGGGTATGTGCCCAGGCTTGGCCAATTAACATATTCCGACGCTCTGAACATACTGATTGGCTCAGCAGTGGATACATGACCCAGCTCAAGCCAATGAGATATCATCCCAGGACATTTGCTAAAACTATGGGGAAAGAGACCTTTTCTTCTAGCTGCTAGGCTGGTTCAAGGGAAACCTGGAATTATCAAAGACCATCCCCCATTGGCCTGAAAATGAGAACAACTCAGAGGAAAACAGAGCTGAGAAATGGAGAGAGAGTCCTGCCCATATTGCTTGAACCCCTGGATCCAGCCATGCCTGAATGCAGCAACTGGAATTTTAGTTACATGAGCCACACATTTTTGCTCAGGTCGGTTTAAGTTGGAGTTCCCATCACGTGCATGCGAAGTCCTGACTGATTCACACTGGGAGATGAGTAAGAAGGAAGGCCGAGCTTCTTACCTCATTCACAAAGTGAGGAGAGAGGATCAGGGCAGTAGGAATGCAAAGTTCTACCCCAGATTTGGACCCCTCACAGGGTCTGACAGTCACCCCTGGTGGCCACTCCAACTCACACAAGGACTGCTGGCACTCCACTCCCTGGTGGCTCCGGTACTCCACGCAGCCAGCCCGCTCTTCCAGACGGGGGCAGGGAGCACCCCCATTCCTTGGCTCCTGCAGGACATGCCTCCTGCGGACACGATAGGAGACCTGACAGGGTTTGGCACAGCGACTCCAGCCACTCCACTCTGCCACTACGCAGGAGACCGCTGGAAGAGAAGGCAATGTCTGCAGGGGCAACTTGTATGGAGTTGGGCTGGCCAGCGGCCAGATCTTCCCCACCTCCCCACAAGCCAAACCCTCAAAAACACCATGCAAAGCACTGGGACTCTTGCAACCCTGAGTCCACGCCTTCCTCAACAGTTCCTCTATGATAACCATTTACACATCCACCTAAACTTAACATTCCGCATTTTAGTCACTTTCTGATGATCACTGAGGTCATTCCCATCACTCATTCCTTCAAAAAACAGTTCCTAAGCACTGAGGGCAACTGATTTCTCTTCTCTGTGCCTCAGTTTCTTCCTTTGTCAAATGAGAATAAAAACAGTGTTCAGCTAATAGGATGGCCTTGAGGATTCGACCAGATTCGACATACAGCCCATGCTTCTGGCACATAGCGAGTGCTCGGTAAATAAAGCTAATCCTCTGCTGCAGGGACGTGAGCCACAGCGACGCCACCAACAGCACGGAGTGGAAAGAAGCCTCCTACAGGAGCTATTTCTGGGGTGACATAGTCAGATACAATTTTAAAACCTGCAAAGCAGTCCGGTCGGTGTGGCTCAGTGGTTGAGCATTGACCCATGCACCAAGACATCACCGGCTTGATTCCCAGTCAGGGCACATGCCCAGGTTGTGGGCCCGATCCCCAGTGGGGGGCATGCAGGAGGCGGCCAATAGATGTTCTCTCTCATCTATGTTTCTCTCTTTCTCTCCCTCTCACTTCCTCTCTCTCTAAAATCAATAAAGGAAAATAAACAAATAAATAATAAAACCTGCAAACCAGTGCTACATAGGGTTTAAGAATGATATAAAGCCCTGGCTAGTTTGGCTCAGCAGTTAGAGCGTCGGCCTGCGGTCCGGAGAGACCCAGGTTCGGTTCCTGCTAAGGGCACGTACTTCGGTTGCAGTTTGTCCCCGGCCCTGGTGGGTCGTGCGGGTGGCAGCCACTCGATGTGTCCCTTTCACGTCGATGTTTCTCTCTCTCTCTCCTTCCTCTCTCTCCCTCCCACTCTATCTGTACAAAAAATGGAAAAATATCCTCGGGTGAGGATAAAAAAAAAAAAAAAAAGAATGATATACTGTATAAGTTTGTCCTCGGCCCTAGTTGGGTCGTGCGGGTGGCAGCCACTCGATGTGTCCCTTTCATGTCGATGTTTCTCTCTCTGTCTCTCTCTCCCTCTCACTCTAACTGAACAAAACAAAAAAAAATGTCCTCAGGTGAGGATTAAAAAAAAAAAAAAGAATGATATATAACCCTGGCCGGTTTGGCTCAGTGGTTAGAGCGTTGACCTGTGGTCCAGAGAGACCTGGGTTCGGTTCCCACTAAGGGTGCACGCCTACCTCGGTTGTGGTTTGTCCCCGGCCCTGGTTGGTCATGCGGGTGGCAGCCACTTGATGTGTCCCTTTCACGTCGATGTTTCTCTCTCTCTCTCTCCCTCCCACTCTATCTGAACAAAAAATGTCCTTGGGTGAGGATAAAAAAAAAGACCCATCTGCCTTTCGGGATGGAGGTGGCAGGTGGTAGTGAGATGCAGAGCAAGAAGCTCCAGTTCAGGGGTTTGTCACGTGGGGTCTGAGTCCCAACTCACACACACGGAGTCGTGCACACACAAGGCGGCTCCTACTGTCAAAATGTATTCATTCACTCCACAAATATTTCCCAAGAGACTACTGTGAGCCAGGAGACACAGTGGTGAACAAGACAGGTGGGTCATCAGCAACGAGATGTGTCCTAGTTCAGCAACATGCAAATGTGAGAAAAAGTACGTCCTTGAACTGAAGGGATACGGTTATTGTGTTGTAAACACAGTGTTGCCTCTGGCACCTCAGGAGGGCAGGGACCCCTTGCCCAGATCTCCACTCTTAGCAGAGCTGAAATGTTCAGAGGAAGGAAGGAGGAAGAAGGGAGGAAGGGAGTAACTCAAGCATGGCAACCTAACAATCATGATTGTTTTTATCATTCAGCTCATAATGACATCCATTATGTCACTGGCAGTGAGCCAGGCAAGTCACATACCTGACTTCATGTAATCCTCCCAACAATCTTAGGAAAGTGTGTGCTCCCGGATCCTTCTTTGCCCTGTGCCCTCCGGGAAGCCTGTGCATCGCAGAGGCTCCCTGACCCCTAGATGCCGTTTGACTTCATCACATGGGGGGACTCTGGTAGGGAGGAGAGTTCGGCCCAGGTGTTTGCTGGCCCCACCCCACCCCTTGACTCAGCCTCGCTCCTGGTGAGGGGGGACCCTCAGCCGTGAATCCTGCTCTCACCAGGCTCCAATAACACCACTTCCTCCTGTACCCCGTTGTGACTAGAGCCCTCATCAAATTCTCTTTCATTTAACTCTCTAGACGTACCATCTGTCACTTGCCAGGACCCTGACTCCTATATGTATTTGTACTATTGTCAACTCATCTCACAGGAGGAAAAGGGAGCTTAAGCAGGTGGAATATCTGAGTGGAGCCGAGGTGCTGGAGCCAGACAAACCTGGATGCAAACTGCAGGCTCACAGGCCTGGTGCAGTGATGAATGTGAAGCACCGAGAAGACCGTAAGTGCTCACTACAACAGCAGTCTTTACGCATTTATTTAACAACTATTTAGGGCCTGCTGAGCCAGGTGCTGGGAACACAGCTGAGCACACCAGAAAATGCCCTTGTCCTGGAGGAGCTGACATTCTGCGAGAGAAACAGACAATAAACGATACAACCTATGATGTAATTTCAGCCAGTGATCCATGCTCTGAGAAAAAAAACAAAGCAGAATAAGTATGGCAGGGGTAGGGTGATAAGAAATTGTTTTAGACAAAGGGGTCAAGGAAGACCTCCAAGACAAAGAACATGTGAGGCGGGTGACGGAGGGAGCTGTGTAGGTGTCTGGGGGAAAGTGTTCCAGGCAGAGGAAACAGGCAGTGCAAAGGCCCTGGGGCAGGGTCAAGGTTGGATGCTGGAGGGACAGTGAGGAGGCCAGTGTAGCTGAAGCAGAACAAGCAGGAGAGAAAGTGGTATGAGGTGATGTCGCAGAGAGAGAGGCAGTGATAGCATACAGGGCTTTGATGATGATTGTATGGACCAAAGGGGAACACCAACGTCCCACCATGATTCCCTGTCCTGCCCTGCCTGCCCAGCAGGTGAGAGATTTTGCAGAAAATTAGGCAGATGCCACCCCACATATATTCTTCCCATGTTGCTGGCATCTGTGAAGCCACCAAGCAGCATGCACATATGACATTTCCAGGGAACTGTCATCACACCTCAGACCTAGGGTTGCAACTTCCGTACATTTGTGTGATTATTCATAACTTGTTAGCCTCTTCCACTCATGTCAGCTCCACAGAAGCATGGCCTTGTTACCTGATGAATCCCAGTACCAAGCACAGTGCTTAGCACATAGGGACCCAGCAAATAATGAGTAAGTGAATATCGAATGAGTAAATCTTGCCTTAGTGACAACAAAGGAAATATGACCACAAGTTGGCATTCAAAAAGATACCACCAGATGGCGTGTTTCTCAAAACAAAGGCCGTCCCACCTTTTTCTGAGTACCATAAAGGAGAAATTCTAGCTTATCAGTGTTGCTAAAAAAGAGCAGGGAGAGGAAGGGGGAGGTTTAAAGGTTGCTCATCCAGCCCTAGAGACCCAGATAACATCATGCCAGCTGAGCCTGCTGGAGCCAGACAGAATTTCCCACAGTCCCTTTGGATCCCTCTGCCCCCACTCTGACAGGCCCAGGCGCATCAGAAAATGCCTTTCTGAACAATCCAAACCCCACCTTCTTCTCTGAACCTCATTGCCCAGTCCCCTGACTGTCCATCCCCCTCACTGTCTACCAAAAGGATTTTTCTGGAATGCAGTTCTAACCTGTCACCTGAAATCCTTGGGTGGTTCCTGTATTCTATTGATGTGGTTCACAAAAGGTCTTCTTTTGATAGTGGATCATAAAGACCCCCAAGCCTAGTGACTAAAAATCTAAGTTGTTCCTGCAACACACCCTCAGCCATCCACTCCCTCCTCCTATTTAATATCTCAACACTCTTTTACTTCGAGGTTCCTGCGCTGTGAGTCTCCCACAGTGCAGCGGTGGGCAGCTGTCATGTCTACCCTCCCCGCCTCCTTACCCCCATCTTCTGGTCACACTGTCTCAGTTTTCTTTTGAGAAACCAATCCTCCCCACTCTCAGTCCACATGGTTAGAATAGAGTGACCTCACCCCTCATTCCTGTGATGGGGCTGGTGACCCAAACATGGCCAATTGATATATTCCTTCTCCTAGGCTCAGTGATTGATTGGATCATGGGTGTAATACAAACTTGGTCTATAAAAACCATCCCTAGGATTCTGGCTGAAACAAATGGGGAAAGTATGCTTCCATTTCACTGGAGACACCGATTCAGAGGTACTACCTTTGCCACCACCTGGTGACAGCATGCCTGAGAATGAAGCTAACACTAGTAGAGCTGAATGGTAGAAAGAGATAGAGCCCTGATGATATCCTTAGAGTCCCTGGACCCAGCCATGCCAGAAGCCAGAAGCCATGAATTGCTTTTCAGTTACCTGAGCCAATCAATTTCTTTGTTAGCTTAAGTCAATGTGAGTTGTGTCACAACTCTAAGAGTACTGACTAGTGCAATGAATACATAAGTGTGTAAATGGGGACATTGATCCTTACAGGATTCAGGTGAGAATTAAAGAATATAAAATAGCCCTGGCCAGTTTGGCTCAGCGGTTGGAGCGTCGGCCTGCGGTCCGGAGAGACCCGGGTTCGGTTCCCGCTGAGGGCGCGTACTTTGGTTGCAGTTTGTCCCCGGCCCTGGTTGGTCGTGCGGGTGGCAGCCACTCGATGTGTCCCTTCACGTCGATGTTTCTCTCTCTCTCTCTCTCTCTCTCTCCCTTCCTCTCTCTCCCTCCCGCTCTATCTGTAAAAAAAAAAAAAAAAAAAAGAATATAAAATACATGAAAACATTCACTAAAGAACTTGAAAAATATGAAGCAATGGTGTCCGTCCTTTAAGGCCTTACTAGTCACTCCAGCTCCACCCTTCTTGAGCAACTATTTAATATTTTGGTTTGGAGCCAGACTGGTAGGATTCAAACCCAGATCTGATGCTTAATAGCTGTGCAACTCTGAGCAGGTCACTACCTCTCTGAGCCTCTGTAAAATGGACATGAAAACACTATTCCATAAGGTTGTTATGAGGCTTAAAGGTGACAATTTATTTAAAGCACCTCAAACAGTACCTCCCTGGCGCCGGGCAAGTACTCACTAAATGTGTTAGGGTTTTGTTTTGTTTTGAAGTCATCCTCAATATCTCTTTCTACCACAATCAATTATAATTCAGTCAATGTTATCCCCTATCACTCATGACAAAAACATACTTTTCTTCATTTCTTGCCTCCTAATTGGTCACCATGTCCCCTCCTGCCCTGCTCCTCTGAGAGGTAGAAAAGTGAACCTGTCCCTGGTCTGTTCATAAGACCTTAGCTTGGCTCACCCCAGATCCTAGGTCTGCTGCCTTTTTGACACCTTCCCAAAGGAGCAAAACAAAGAGGGACTCAAAGCTTTGAGGCTTGTGGGTCCACCAGCAGAAGCTGTTTATACAACGGACAATGCTGGGGAGCTGATAACATCGTGTGATTCTGTGGATGACGGTGAGACCGTGGGAAAGTTTCACTAGCCCCTCTGCCTGGTCCCCTTCCTGGGCCCCCCACCCCTGGGCTAAGGTGAGGGAGCCCCTGTGGGAGCAGCCCCACACTCTGAATGACCCCTTGACTGAGTTCACTCTCTGTACAGAAAGCAGACAAGTACAAAGTGTTCCCAACACAATCCTGCACGTTTACTCTAGGGGGGTCTCATTAGCTATGATTTGGGGAGATACCACACCCCAAATTACTTTTTCCTCTCGCTGCTGCCTGAATCGCCACCATTAGCCCATCAAATCTGTGGGAAGCAGCAAGGCGCTAGATGACAGGATCAGACCAGGTTCAAAACCTGCTGGATCACCTTGGCTGGCCAAAGCCCTCTCCTCTCCAAGCGTCAGCTTGTCTCATCTGCGGCCCAGGGACACTATGATGTGCAGGAACCTCCCCCCCCCCCCCCCCCAGGCCCCGTGCTGTGAGAAAGTAATCAGGTTTGATGAGACACCCAGACCAGCTCTTGGGCACAGAGATGGTAAGTGATCAATAAATGTTGGGTCCCTTTCATTCTACTGATGTCTCAGGATAGAAGGGTCCAATCGCTGTCACCCCTGACAAAGGAATGTTGGGTCATATCCACTGTACAAGGGGGCAGAATGCAGACTTTTTTTCTCTCTAGTGGGTGTGAAAAAACTTACTCCTGGGATTTAAAAAAGACAGAATTCTCCTCACCAGTGACTCAACAATCAGCCCTTGATTTCAGAGCCCAGTGGATACCACTCTGGCGGGGTCTTTATAAGAAATGCTTAGACCCTGGTCTGGTGGCCACCGCCAGCACGGGACCACAGTGGGGCATTGCCTGGAGACGAATCCGGCCCCTCCGCCTCCACTGGCCTGCACAAGTTTTAGCCTGCTCCTCGCCCCCTCCTCACCCCACCCCGAGTTCCTCTGCCCCTCCCGGGTCACCCAGCAGGGGTTCTAGGTCCCGTTAGTGCGTCCCTCCTGGCTTCAGCGGTTCTCTGGACCTTCTCAAGACCCCCTCCATTTGCCTTGTGAATCCCGTCTACAATGCCCCCCGTGCACCCAGTTCTCCCTCGTACCTCTCCATCCCCCCACATGCCCATTTCCCTTTGGTGTCCGTCCCCCCCTGGTGCCTGGCTGGCGCGCCCCTTCCATGAGCCCCCACCCTTGCGCCGCCCTCCAAATCCTTCTGGAACACCCCTCAATTCTCCAAGAGTCCTTCTCCACTCTGTCCCCCAACACTCAAGCGTCCTGGTCCACGCCCCGCGCATCTTTCTCCGCATGCGCCTCCTGGCCCAGAACCCTCGGTGGACGATATCCTTCTGTCCGCCGCCGCACCCCAGAACCCAAGCTCCCCAAGGCGCCGAGCGCTGCGCCCGCGCTGGGAGCTCGGGAGGCGCACCTGGACAGGCCCGCGTGTAGTCGGCGCAGCAGTCCCGCACCGCGCCGCACGCCTGGTCGCAGAAGCAGCGCGGGGGCCCGCGGGCAGCACAGGTCAGGTCACGGCCCGAGCAGCAGCGGCCCAGCGCGGAGCAGCCCTGCCCGGGCCCGAGTGCGCCCGCCGGCGCCCGCGCCCAGGACACCGCGGCCACTGCAGCCAGGGCGAGCGCCAGGGGCCGGATCCGATCCGCTTCCCGCGGGGCCATCACCAGGCTCGGGCTGGGCGCCCGGCGCCCACAGGGCCGACCCTAGCGGCCCGCCCCTTATTGGGGCGGAGGCTCCCCGCCTGACCCCTCCCCTACCAGTCTGGGAACTGATACCCACCTCCCTTCCTCCGGTCCAAACTTTGCGCAGCTAGTGGAGGTGAAAAATATCAAGATAATGGTGATAATCATTGCAACAACTTTTCAGGGTTCCCCCAGATTCCAGAAATTGAGGTGTCACAGAGGTTCATCAAAGCAATATATAATAATATAAAACAACAATGTATTGTTATAACAGTAATAGTATAGTTGTTAAACCATAATTAGATTATCAATAATACCAACAATAGGTGCCAATATTATTCAAATAGTAATAATAGTCATAATAATTGCCAGGTAAGGAGTGTGAGAGCCAAGCTGTGCACCAGGTTCTGGTCATGGCATAAGTATTAGCCAAACCTGAGTTCTTTGCATACACCTTTATTTTTTGCTGTATTTCTACCCCTTTGACTGTCATTTCCTGACTATTTCTCCTCAAATGGACTCTTTTTTTATTTATTTAAAATTATTTATTTGTTACAAACTTGCATCACTCAAGAGAATGAGAAGACAAGCCACAGACTGGGAGAAAGTATTTGCAAAAGACACATCTGATCATGGACGGTTATCCAAACTATACAAAGAACTCTTAAAACTCAACAAGAAAACAAACACTCCAATTAAAAAATGGGCCAAAGACCTAAACAGACACTTCACCAAAGAAGATACACAAATGGCAAATAAGCATAAAAAGAGATGCTCCACATCATATGTCACCGGGGAAATTAAAATAACGAGATACCACTACACATGTAGTAGAACTGCCAACATCTAGAACACTGACAACAACAAATGCTGACAAGGAAGTGGAGCAACAGGAACTCTCGTGCATTGCTTGTGGGAATGCAAAATGGTACAGCCACTTTGGAGGACAGTGTGGCAGTTTCCTACAGAACTAAATACACTCTTACAATAAAATCCAGCAATCGTGCTTCTTGGTACTTACCCAATTAAGTTGAAAACTTATGTACATACAAAAACCTGCACACGATGTTTATGGCAGCTTTATTCATAATTGCCAAAACTTGAAAGCAACCAAGATGCACCTGACTAAGTGACCGATAAACTGTAACACATCCAGACAATGAAATATAATTCATCACCAAAGAGAAATGAGCTATCAAGCCATGAAAACACATGGAAGAATCTTAAATGCACATTATGAAGTGAAAGAATCTAATCTGAAAAGACTACACACTGTACAATTCCAAGTATAAAATATTTTGGAAAAGGCAAAATCATGGAGACAGTAAAAAGATCAGTGGTACCCTGACCGGTTTGGCTCAGCGGTTAGAGAGTCGGCAAGCTGACCAGAGAGACGCGGGTTCGGTTCCCACTAAGGGCACGTACTTCAATTGCAGTTTGTCCCCGGCCCGGTTGGGGTCCTGTGGGTGGCAACCACTCATGTCTCTCTCACATCGACGTTTCTCTCTCTCTCTTCCTCCCTCTCTCCCTCCCGCTCTATCTGAAGATAAATGCAAAAATGTCCTCAAGTGAGGATTAAAAAAAAAGATCAGTGATTTCCAGAGATTAAGGGGGAAGAAGGGATGAATAGGTGGATGCAGATTTTTAGGGCAGTGAAACTCAGCTGTGTGATAATATATGGTGCATATATATCATTATACATTGTCCATGCCTGTGGAATGTACAATGCTAGGGTGAACCTTAATGAAAACTGTGGACTTTGAGCGAGGATGTAGGTTCATCAATTGTAACAATGTCCCACTCAAGTGGGGGTGGGGGGATAGGGAATATATGGGAACTCTCTGTTCTTTCTCCTCAATTTACTGTGAATCTAAAACTGCTCTAAAAAAAAATGAAGTCTATTTTTAAAAAGAAAAAATCGTCACTACTATAAATGCAAAACCAGTAATATTTTTCATAAGTAAAAGGAGAAGGAAGGAAGGGTAGAAAGACAGAGAGGAGATATATATTTGATTTACTAATGTTTTAACTACCAAGAGAGAGGAAAGAAGAAAGGAAAGAGAGAGAGAGACAGAAAGACAGAGAGAGAAAGGAGGGCTCTATTGATGTAAGGGTCAAGTGGAGGCAGGCAGCCACTCCTGACCATGACATGTCCCTGAGCAGTCCCCATGACAAGGCCCAGCAGCCTCCTATAGTTTCCAGCCTCCTTTATCTGATTTCTCTCTGTCTTTCTGGGTTTGAGGCCTCCAAATAACTGGTGACCCAGTTCCCAGAAAAATCTCTTTGTTGTCCTTTTGTAAGGGCCCTGGGGGCTATGGAGCTCTTGGCAGATGCCACGACTGTGAGCACAAAGAGAAGCTTATTCTCCTCTTCGCAGGGTGAGGGAGGCCTGAGGCCCATCAGAATGCAGAGCGCTGTCCAGCTGAGGTTGGACACCCCTCTCTCCATGGGTCTGGGCTGTCGGGCACTGTTTTGGGTGGGGACAGAGGGATGCTAGTCAGTCTCTCTTCACTGTTCACATCTGTCTCTGTTATCTATTTTTGCACAGTAAACCACCCCAGAACTTAGAGGTTTAAACAACAATTTATTATTATCCCTCATAGTCTCATGAATTGACTGGGCTCAGCTGGTGGTTCTTGCTTGGGGGTCTCTCATGCAGTTGCAGGCAGAAAGCAGCTAAGGCTGAAGTCATCTCAAAGCTTCATTAGGCTGGATGTCCAAAGTGACGTCTCCACTTACCTGTCTGCTGTTCCAACCCAGATGGCTGGACCTAGCTGGTCCTCTCATCTTTTTCTCTCCATAGAGTCCAGATGGTTAGCTTGAGCTTCCTCACATCATGGCAGTCTCAAAGTAATCAAATGTCTCCAGTGGCGGTTGGCTTATCCCAGAGCAGTATTCCAAAAGTCAAGGTGAAAGTTGCAGACTTCTTAGGACCTAACTCAGAAGTCAGGCATGTCACTTCTGCTGCAATATTCTATTGGTTACCCAGGGTCAGTCAGAATAAAGGTGGGAGGGGCTACTCAAGGGTGTGATTCTTAATGGGCCATCTTTGGAGGCCACCCAGGACAATGCTGCGTGCCTTTCAACACTTTCTTCTCTTTCTTCTACTTCACTGGCCACACCTTAGTCTCTTTGGGGTCTTTTTCATCTTTTGACTTCAAATTAACCAAAAACTCAGACATGGGTCTCTTCTCCGGCTGAGTGATCTCAGTCAGTCTAAATACCTATACCCTGACAACTCTTGAATTTACATCTCCAGCCTGGACTTCTCCTCTGAAGCCCAAACTCCTTTCTCCAACTGCCTGGTCAACATCTCTGCTTGGATGTCTCACAGAGACCACAGCATCAGCAGCTCTAAAACCACCTTCCACCCCCTGCTCCCAAGCACTTCTCAAAAGAATATATGTGAATAGCTAATAATTGCACAATAAAGGATACTCAGTATCATTAATCACTAGAAAAACACAACTTAAAATCACAATAAGATACTACTGCACATCCATTAAATGCCTAAAACTGGACTGATCACAAGTGTTGGCAAGGATGTGGAGCAAAAGGAACTCTCGTTCGCTATTGGGTGGGGCTTTGCAAAATGTGGTAAGCCACTTTAGAAAACAGTATGTCAGTTTCTCGAAAAGTTAAACACATACCTACCAAATGACATGACCCAGTCATGCCATGTTTAGACATTTACCCAAGAGAAACTAAAACATTTTTCCCACAGAGACTTAGACACACACATGTTCTAGAACAGCTTTATTTGCAATCACCAGAAACTAGACACAACCTAAAAAGCCCATGAAGAGGTGAATGGATAAACAAATTGTGGTACATCCATACAAAGGGATACTACTCAGCAATAAAAAGGAACAAATTATTGATACCTGAGACATGGGTGAATCCCAAAATCATCATGTCGTGTCAAAGAAGCCAGCACTCACCACCTAAAAATGGAGTACATACTGTACAATTTCATTTATATTTATTATCAAAAATGGAAACTAATTTATAGTGACAGAAGTAAGTCAGTGGCGAAGGGGAGGGAGGGAGAATTGCGAAAGGGCTCAGGGATGGATGATGGATTTGGAGGATGATGGGTATGTTCACTATCTTAATTGTGGTGAAGGTTTCATGGATGAACACATATGTCAAAACTAATCTAATTAGCCTGGCTGGTGTGGCTCAGTGATTGAGCATCGACCCATGCACCAAGAGGTCACCAGTTTGATTCCCGATCAGGGCACATGCCCATGTTGTGAGCCAAATCCCCAGTGGGGGGCATGTAGGAGGCAGCCAATTGATGTTCTCTCTCATTGATGTTTTCATCTCTCCCTCTCCCTCCTTCTCTCTCTAAAATTAAATAAAGGAAACATTTTTTAAAAAAACTAATCTAATTATATATCTTAAATATGTTCCAGGTGGTGTACTTCAATTATACCTCAATAAACTTGGAAAAAATGAATCAAAAGAAAAAAAAAGACACGTGTTTGGAAGAATACACACCAAACTGTTAACAACAATTACCTTCAGGGATTGGAAAGCGGGAGCTATCACCCGTGACGTTGCAAGCAGCTTTCTAGTTTCAATTGTTTATAAGCAATATTACTTACAAGTTTAAGAAAAAATGCAATACATTTTTTTGCCTCCCAGCCTCTGCCCAGCCCTCAGGAGGTCTGTCACATACCCCTCAACAGACCAGGTCATTCTGCCAAACAAAGACACCTCCTGGATTTGAGCCAAGGGTTTCTGGAGGCAAATTTCCATTCGAAGACAATGAAAACTGTGCTCCCTCAGAACAAGGATTTTATTTACACCTTATATCTACATTCCGGCCTGGGGCCCACAGGGGATGATTGCCCAGGAAGATAATGGAGTCATTAATCTCTGCCCAAGACTGGGCTCCTATTGCCAACTTCCCATCTGAGTAATTAAACCAGCTGGCAGCCCCATATCAGTCTCCAGGGCGTCTGCAGGGCCGA